GTGAATTCATTTCCCTTAGTTCCCTTCTGTTCCTTAGTTTCCTCATCAGCATATTAAGGAGTTGGGTTAGGTCTCTACTTTGCAGGCAGTGTATTGAGAGGCCTGGATTGCTTGGGTAGAGGAGGGTTGGAGGAAGGCCAAGGCATGGGGGCTCTCCAAGCACCACTTTACCACTTTTCTATATTGATAGATATTGTGCTTTTCTTAAGATGTCACTTGGGAAAAAGGTGGGGCATGGGCCTGCTATTTAAGATGATAGATATGTAGATAAACAGACAAATAAAAGGCTTGAGAACCTCTGGAGAAGTTGTCCCTGGGGGTCACTTCCAGATTTAGTATTCGCTGGTGCTGCTTACTTTGTCTGCCTTATCTCTCTACCCCCTTTACTCTTTTTTTTTTTTTCTGCATCCCCTCCCTTCTAAAAATAAGCATTACAAAGTTTCCATCTTAACTTCCAAACTTAGGTTGACCTTGAGAACCAAACTTGAGGCCTTGTTCTTGTCTTTATGAGATGCTGTGAGGTCATGTGAAGGAGAAGGGAGAAATAAAATCAATCTGTAATTTCTCCCATTGTTATTCTTTTCCTTATTGATACACATTGAACCACAGATTATTGAGAACTTGACATCCTGGAGTTATGAAGTACTCTTGCTTCCCCTCACTACGCTGTGCAGTGCAGAATTTTGAGGAATGGGAGCATGCTATTTTTAATGACACCACAATGTTTATATGGCTTTTATCATTTTTGTTTTTGTTTTTAAGGCAAGAGGAACCATTCAGATAGGTTTTTATGTTCAAAATGTACTCTGGAGTTCCATCTTGGAGAATAAGAAGGCATTTGTTCCTCTTTCTGCTGCAGTTTTACTTAGTTTCCACTGATACTAGCTCTAGAAGAGTCTGAATCAGCCATAAAATATGCCCATTCAGGAAATTGGCAAATTCATTTTTATTATTCTTTGCTGGAGGGGAAAGTGCAGATTCAAGGAGAGCTGGCAGGGAGGTGGAGTGGGGGGAGATGTTTGAGAAATGCTGGATAGAGCACGCCATTCTGCCCCTGCTCTGTGTAGTCTTCCTAGGCCATGGGGATTTACTCGAGGAAGAAGTTACTGGAACTATGCCCACCACACTGGCGGTGCCTACCTGGGAGTTCTGGACACTAGTTATGTCAAGAGCAACCTAATGCATGATCCTTGATTGAGGCCCTTCTATCCTGGCTACACACAGAAAAGGGAACAGCCAGGCTGAGACTGAACATGTGGACACCTCACCTGCTGATTGGCTAGAGCCTGAGAAGCAGAGCTTTCTCCCATTGGTTGGTTCAGATTGGCATAGGTAGCAGGTGAGGGCAGATCTTGTGGCCACCAAAAACCCTTTGCATCACTAGTTCCCTGGGTTCTAAATGCCCCCACCAAAACAAAACAAATGAAAAAATAAACCATTCTTGTGCTCAAGTAACACACAGTCTAGTGGAAGAACTATAAACAGATCATGATAAAATACTTTACTACACAGGAGAGACACACAGGGAATTCCCCAGGGAAGCTAACAGGAAGCTTTCAGGAGGTTTTGCTGGGATTCCTGGAGCGAGGGAGGCCTGGGCAGTGGGAAGGGACAAGTGAGGGGGTGTGAGGTGGGGCTGGGCGGTTATGTGTGGGGAAGTGAGTGTGTGCATGTATGTGTGGTGTACATGGCATGAGATGTGTGATGTGTACATGTTTGTACACCTTAGGATAGGAGGTTCAATGGGGCTGCTGTGACCAGGGAAACTGGGTATGGGTGCCTTGTGACCCCTGGGCGTCACTCCTTCCCCACCAGAAGTCACAGCCCTGCTCCACCATCTGTGGCTTCCAAGGATGAGCTTATTACCGTCAGTAGGGACCCTCTTTCCCTCTTCACCAAGCCCAGCGCTCCCCAACCAACTGCAGAACAGCCTCAAGCTGACTATTTTGCATACTTTACAAAACTGCTATGCCACCCTGATCTCTCCTCTTGAAACCAAGTGGGGGAAATGATGCACCTTATCAGGGACATGACCTGTGCGCACTCCCGTCGGGTTGGTCCCAGTGGCCTGAAAGACGCTGCTCAAAGGCCTGCTCCCACCGGCCAGTGAAGGTCCTCAGCCCTGTGTATCCAACCCCAGCCACCAGGAAACAAATAAAAACTGGGATTGGCCACCTGTGGACTTCTATCTCCAACTCTGCTCTTCTAAAGAGGTCTTTATGTCATGGAACTTTAGTTGGTGTGAGGAATGGTGTTTGAAATTCACTATAGGCTAAAAAAACCCTCTGGGTGGCATGTAGTCAATTCTTTGCAGCAGCTGAGGTCTTTTGGAGGTCCCAAGAGGGTAACAGCAGGGTCAATGAGGGAAGAACTAGGTAGCACAAGATGGACAGAAGGGAGGGTCCTATGCTAGGCTCTTGAGCTATAAACAAATAACACAACTGGGCCTCTGTACTCCCACAGGAGCAGGTGATGCAGAACTTTGAGAAGAAGTTGCATATAATTTAGGGTGCGTTGGGGGTGGGGGGAACACAAGAGAGCAAACAGTTCACCAGGCTCTGTGCATGACTTGTCTGTCCACACTTGCCACCCCAGGATTGGATTTTATGAGTAATTTCAGATTTTGAGTATTCCCAGTTTTCAATGTGTTTTTTTTACACCTGGGTTAGTGCATGCTAATTTTTACCATTCCGCTACCACAGAGAGGAGAGGCTTTGGTCTGTCAGATCCATGTTCTGATGGAACTTTGGTCAGACTTTCACCCCATTTTTCCACTTGTGGAACAGGAAGTATCCTCCTAAGGATTGCTGTGAAACCCGAATGAGAGAACCTGGCACAGTGCAGGGTCACTGGAAGGCATTAAGGCATTTACTTCTCTTTGTGTAGACACAGGGCAGCCTCTACACCCCCACCCCAAATGTCAATAGTGCTGAAGTAGAGACCTTGCCATAAAGGAATTCACAGTGGTCAGCCCAGGCCATGTTACCTAGGCTAGGATTGGATGGAGGTTCAGACAAGCTGAATGATCTGCCTAAAAACCATAGTGCTTGGGATGAGGGGTGGGGCTGGACAATCTGGATTGCACTTGAACCAAATTTTTTCCTCCCCAAAAGCTGCTTTTTCCACCATACCATACAACCACCTGTCATGAGGTAGAGTAAGGGTTAAGGTGCCCACACTTCACTACAGCTGAAAGTATTGTCATAAAGTGACAATTTATGTGAAAATTAAACATAAAATTCAATCTTTGTTAGAGCATTTATCCAAATTGGTCTATACATACAATTGTGTAGGCCATTATTAATATCAAATAATCAATGTTTTTGTCCTACATCCAAAAATGCAATTCTGAGGTCTGCAAACTGTAAGTCAGTTGAGCCAATTTTTGAAATACTGCTCATCTTTACAGAAAAGTAAGGCTCAAAAATTTCTAACCTTTAATGAAAACAAACTGGTTTTGGCCAGACTGACATTATCATCATCAGGTACTATTTTGAGAGAGAGAAAAACTTTCTTATTCAGATTTTTAAAAAAAATCTTTATAAGCTTCCAAACTCTATACAGAAACCTATCTTCACCTCTCAACAGTATACAATGTACACCTACTGAGTATATATTAGTGTGCATTAGGGAGCATTAGAAAAACTATGAGACAGATTACAAAATTCAAGGCTTCTAAATGATAAAACAGTTAAAAGAAATTACAAAGTGGGGAAGAATGTTTGAATAGTGACAAGTGGTTAAGATTCTTAACATGTTATATAAAATCAACATTCCACATTTACAAATGAGAATGCATAGAATATTCAGTTCTTGAAATACAGAGGCAAATTTAAAATGATGAAGTCCACACTAGACACCCAAGTGAAGTGTGCGCTTGGAGTGTGGGTTTAGTTAACATTTAAGTGTCCAAGTTCGTTCCCAACTCTGATACTTCCCCTGTGATCATGGGTTAAGTATTAAACTTTGGTTAGTTGTATCACCCCTGCTCCTCACTCCAGTCCCAAGACTACTTCAATCTCCTCCTTAGACAATAAAAACCAGGTAAGGTTTACTGCAGCATTATTTAGAATAGCAAAAACTTGGGAAACACCTAAGTCCACCAATTGGTAAAAATATTTTATAGTATGTCTTTAATAGAATGGAATTCAGCACATCAGTAAAGTTTTAACAAATTATATGGAGTGTGCAAAAGTAGGTACACAAGTGTCAATGAAGCTATTGTATTAATCATAACCTCCACATTTTTTTCCTGAGGAACTGTAAACCTACGCTGCCCACCCCTGTATTCACTTATTTGCCTGGGATAGTTTTAAGACAGCGGACTATACAACACTGTAACATTAATACCCACAATGACACAGACCCCTGTCATTAGAAGGCTTCAAAGATAGGCAACAAGAGTTAATGCTTTTCTCTGGGTGGTGGATTCTAAATTATGTTCAACTTAATAGTTTTAAATTTTTAAATGTGATTAAACATACGCTACTTTTCTATCAGTAGAAAGTCATTTTCGGTTAGCAAAGAGGTAGCACATATAAACAGCAAAAAAGAAAGTGATTTTCACAGTGACTTCATTTCTGCTATAATAGTTTATACCACTCTCCCCAACCCCATTTTTAAGTCAGTGACACAACCGTTTAGAAATGACACCATAGATGAACTTTATTTTAAAGCTCATAAAAGGCTTTACAATACCGGTAACACACAGATCCTACATTTCCTCCATTTGACACCTCCACTTGACAGTGCACTGTGTAACAAGTGATACATTTGAAAGATATGTTCTGCATGCTGCTAACACATTTCACTAGCGCTTGCATTACTCGATGCATTTTAATAATATCAAAGCAAAAAGTCATCTTCTATTGGACAGAATTTTAGAAAGCCCTTGTGAAATCCGATTGTATTGTTTATAAACATCCACACACATGCTGAAATGGAGGCAAGTTTCTAAACATTCTTTAAAAAGAAAATATAAATAGTCTCAGTATGTTATGTAGAGTCACATACTATGGCAAAAATATTTTATTAATTAAAGGATGAAGCCAATTTAATGTTATCTAGTCCAAGTCCATATTAATGGAACTCTTCTCATTAGGGTAACATTCACCATTCTGATGTGGAGGTTCAGCACCAAAATTATTTTTGCCTTGATCTAAATCGTCTTCCTTTTTATCAGTGTTTGGGCCATTTGGAGTTCTTTCCAGTTTGGGTGATTCGATTTTTGGCTTGGGTTGTGTTACAACAGGTTCACAGGTATTATTCAACTCCTAAAAAAGCAAAACAAAGCTAGTAATCGGACTGACTCAGACCCATCTAGTTCATTTTCAATTACTTTCCTACATGCTTGAACCAATACTTTTCTACCAACTCCAATTACACTTACCTCAAAGAATCCCATTTACTTATTACACTTGCTCAAAACTATAGCTTGAAGCCTGATCAAAGAGAAGTGAATACTATCCTATGATGTCTCATGGACTTGCTAAGTATTCATACATTATAATCTTTGCAATAGTATTAAAAGGTAGGAATTATGATACCCACTGATGGAAAAGGGAAATGGTTCATTGAGATAAAGTAATTTTGCCTCAAAAAAAATCCCCCCAAAACAAAAAAAACCCAAAGAGCTGAAATTTATTGTAGCCCACTGACTTCAAAGGCTTACGTTTCTGTAATCTTTACTGTGTTTGAAAATCCTTCCAGAGAGAAGGTAGTTCCCGTTTTCTTTTTCCCCTCAACTTCCTTCAAACCTCAGGCACTTGGCAAGGTCTTCCCTGTTAAAACCCTTACTTGGGTCCCCTCCACTGTCCAGAATTTCCTAACCCCTTCTAACTCTTATTTGTATAATTGGCACTTTATAGACCACCTCATATACTGCCATACGTGTTTACTGTCAAGTCTTCTTCACACTAACAGGGCAGGGACTTCCTTTGTACACTGAAAGTTTAGCACCTGGTACAATGACTGACATGTGGCTGAACAAATACATTTGTTAAGCTAAATGAATACAATGAAAATTTAACAGACACTTATAAAGTCTTCTAAATTTTGTGATATCAATTATAAACCAAGAAATCTGGTTTTGGTCAGGAGGAGGGGAAAGACTTACGGGAAAAATGGCCATGTTCAGGGTTCAAGTGATTGTAACTTGAGCCTCTAAGAAAACACAGCAATGAACAGACAATAACACTCACCTTTATTTTTGCTTTAATTTCCTGAGCACGTATAACTGGATCCTGATCGAGACTCTTTCTAGCCTGTTCATTCATGACGTTATTCATCCACTCCATTACTTCATTCACGGATTTCTCGACCTTTTTCATTTCTGACTCATCAATATGGTTATATTTTTCATCCTGAATGGAGAAAGGATGGTCATTCAGCAGAGTTAAGTATTTAACATTGATAACAAACTTGACAAAATTTTCTATGAAGTTCAAATACCAAGAACAAATTTCTCATTTAAGAACATCATCTGTTCACCCTAAAGGTTCCTCAACTTCACTATTAGCTGATTAAAACCTTTCACGGATTTCTCGACCTTTTTCATTTCTGACTCATCAATATGGTTATATTTTTCATCACTCTTTCTGAAGTCGGCTGCTATCTTGGCATAGTGCTGCAGCCTCTGACCTAGTTCTTCAAATGCTTTTGGCCGTTCCTCAGCTTCTTGAAATCGAACTTTAATTGGCGTCCCAATTTTCTAAAACAAATGTAACAAATTAGTATTTCTCATCATATTTTCAAAGTTTATAGTCTAAACCACAGGCACCGCTTTCATAGGGGAAAGAAGGGCCTACCATTAATTCTTCTAACTTGTCCACATAGGCTTGTTTTGCTTGGTCTTCTCCTTCCTCATAGAGCCAGTCCTCAGTCTTGGTGAGCAGTTGCAAAAATTTTTGATGGTCCTGTATGTGAAACATGAGAACCAACATGATGAAGAGTCAGTCAGAAATGTTTAACATGAAGTATCTGCTTTCATTTCAAGAAAGGCACATGGGTCAATGGATTCTCCTCATTAAAAAGTATGAAGGAGCAACATACTCTACCATCAGCCCCTCCTACCCAACTCATATAAACTATGTGCTGCTATTCTAGCCTTAGGTTTGGGCTATCTCTATCTCAGAATCACTACCATAACCAATTTAGGAAATGTTAGGGCAGAGATGAGAACTGAACTATCACAAAAATCTTAGGACTAAAATAGATTCCTAAGATTAAATTCTTTTAACTTTAGAATTAATCTTTCAACCATCCTAGATATCTAGCCATTTTTCCCCCCAAGTCCCATCTTTCACAATTGTGCTTCTGGGATTTACTCAGAAGCCTACTGACTTTGAGAGCTTAGACAAGGGCTAAGGAGAATGGGGGCTGATAAACTTTGGAATGAATGGATAAACAAGATTTTGGGGATAAACAATAAGAGCAAGCTAGTCATAAAAATTTTTTTTTGAGGTCTCTGAAAGCAAGGGCTTTCAATTTATCTTTTAAGCCTCCGTATCTGTGAATGGTAAAAACTAAAGAATCATTGGTATTAGCTAGATAGAAAAATTGTACACCACTAGTGAGCCTCTCTCTAGGGTTTTGTTTATACAATTTCTACTTTAAGTTGTTTTGTTTCCAAAAAGCTTATTACATAATCTAGTAGAGGTTCAAAGCTAAGTTTGATAATAAATACTTTATAGCTGAATAAAAACCAGACTCTAAACATACCTGCTCACAGATGAATTTTTCATATGGTCCGCAGAGCTTATCCCGGAACTCATACACATATTCCTCCACTGCGTTTTTAGCATCGTTTCTTTCCTTCTCCAATTTATCCTGCATTATCATCTTACCCTGTCAGAGAACAGAAAACGTTAATTCCAGCTTTCTGTTATCTGTAACAAATTGTACCAAAAAAATTAGTATTAACAGTTCTAAATTATACCTCATAAAACTCTTACAACAAACCCTACAAAGTTCTTCATTTTCTAACATTATATAAAAAAATTACATAACTTTCTCATTTGAGATTTAATACTAAGGGGAAAAAAACAATTCATGGCTTTTATATTATTTTGTTTTCTTTTATGGAGTTACATGGTTATCTCATCTTGGGATTAATATTGACCAATAGATAATGATCAGACCACTCTGCCATATTTGAAAATCAAGGATGAATTACTTATATTTACTGTTAAATTTCTAAACACAGTGTTCCTATCTGAATACAGGAAAAATGAATCTTAATTATCTCACACACTCTATGGAAAAGCACATGTTTTAACAGAAATATTCAATGTGGCCTAAAATACGAATTGTACTATGCCCAGTGCTAGAAAATACTGGCATCCAATTTCTTTATAAGGACTTGGAATCAGTTTTATACCAAGCAGAATGGTATAGATCGCTTTTGTTATAAAGATGAAAAAACATAAAATTTGTTTAAAAATTTTAATTAAGCCCTCACCAGATAGCTCAGTTAGTTGGAGAATCATCCTAACATGTGGAGGTTGCGGGTTCGATCCCCAGGCCAGGGCACATACAAGAATCAACCAATGAATGCATAAATAAGTGGAACAACAAATCAATATTTCTCTCTAAAATTAATCAATAAGAAAATAAACTGAAAAGCCGTTGATTTTGGTTTCATCCTATCTCTAAAACTGTATAAAACTTGGGATACTGAAAAGGATTACAGCCATTTATTAGGAATATGGACAATAGGGCCAAACAACTAAATATATTCTAAAATAAAAGTATTTATTGGAAGTACCTACCTCTGTTTCAATGTACATATTAAGCAGGTCTCTCCCCAGCTGATAGACCAAGTTGGCCTCAACAGGTAGCTCCACATTCACTACCTTGATTTTGGGTTTTTTAGCTTCTGGAGGCTGGTCAACTTTCTTTTCATTTGCCTTGGGAAGGGGGGTAAAAAAAAAAAGAAAAAGAAATTCTTAAAGCATCCTTGAAAAACAAAACAAATAAAACTCCTTATCATACTTGATGACATAGGCAAAAATAAAATCCCCACAACTACGAAGTTAGAAGTAGGTATAAGCTTAGCTGATTTCCACCCACCTGTTTTTAATCAGGGCTGCAATGACACATAAGCATGCCACACTCTCATTTGAGAATTCACCCATACTTTTCTCTTTTCATATTAAACTTAATCTCCCCTGCTAAAGCTTTTCTCCATTGGTCTTTACCTTGTCATCCCTTTAAGCAATGTTTGTGACTCTGAAGAGTCAAAAATATTATTAAATTGCTGCATCTTTATATTATAGTCTAGAATCTGACAATAACTGCAGACTGACCAATGCTAGCAATGTTAGGGTCAATACTATCTCTGTAATATATACATACTTAGTACTTAAGTCCTTATGTCCCAGTATTATACCTGCCTTGATTACAATTAGCACCATACTGATGAGTGCCTTTCAAAATGTCCTACTGAATTTGGAGATTACACACATGTATCTGTCTGTATATATACATATATCCCTATCCCTACTACCTGCCTCTGAGTCATATTACTTCTCATAAGCAACTCCCCATGGTCAAGAAATAAGAGTCTTAAAATAGCAAATAGAACGATGCAGCTACTGCTAATAATTTATTGTAGATTTTTCAAAATATTTAAATACAGGGCTAAAGAAGTAGGCATTTCCTACGGCCTTTACTTTCCCAATTCCAAGTCTTTTCTGTGTATTTCCAATTCTGCAGGTTCCCACTTGCACAAGTAGAAAATAGACTGGAAGATAACCAGGAGATTTATCACATGTACTCTGGTTGGCTGGTTTGGTCAAGTAGGAAGAGAACCAGCCCACGGGTCACAGCAAGCTCTGCCAATGGATAACTTTGGGGAGCTATTAGGATATTAAAATTCTAGGCAGTTTATAGAAAAAAATAGAACTTGAAAAAGGTTCAATGGTTTGCCTAAAATTACAAAGACAGAGATGGGATGAGAACTTTTGTTTTCCAGACTTCTATTTCAGTGATCTTTAGAAATCTCACACCTCTGAACTGCTGTAAGCTGTGTCAGTAGCAATGACCCACTCAGTCTGCCTATATACTCTGTCTTCCTCCCTCTAGTGCACAGGAGAGCTCTCCAATATTTTGTGCACCTTCTGGGGGCATGACCACAAGAAAGACAAATGGATCAGTTGATATCTACACTTAGCAAAACACGAAAACAACAGATGTTTGGGAAACGATTGGATGATAGTCTATGTCTGGCAGTTAAGAGTATCTGGCAATACAACATTAAACCAACTACTGACAAGACCAATTATTATCACAACATGGCATCTGACGTGGCATGAACAAGGAACCCTCTGAGGAGGTGTGCGAGAGGGCCTGATGCTAGTGCTTCCTCCTATAGCTAAGAGCATGAGGCGCTACCAATGGCATGTTCCAGACAGGTATCAACATTATCAGCACCATCAGTTAATGTCAAAGTGAGTGAGGGGAGTGATGCTAAAATCAAGGAGCTGTTACTACAAACAAAGCAATGCTGCTCCACTGGCATCATTAACTCTAGCAGGAGAAAACAAGGAAGGCTTTTAAACCAGAACCAGGACCTATGTTTCACGTCGGGACCCCCACAGGAGCAATGAGGACACAAGGACATTCATAACTGGAAACTTCCACCAAGTGTAAAATGTGTTTTGACACCAATCAACAATTCTGTAATTCATCAAGAGTAAAGAATTCTACACTCACAATGTGAAAACCAAATCACTAATGGAAGGTTAATAATTTGCATACAACTTGCTTGCTTTCTGAAAAGCACAGAGTGATAGGGAGACAAAGGAAACTTTCTAATATTCATCTGACCATGAAATTTAAAGGTTGATTAGAAAACGACATTTTTAAAGGGACACAATACAACTATTTAATTTAGCTTCCAACACATGCTGTGGAAACAGGGCAAAAGAACAATTACTTTGAAAGCAATCTGGTTATTTCCAGATCATCCTAATTAATTTATTCAAATTTGACAGGTGACTTGAAAGGAGGAGAAAGTTTACTAGACTCTTGTAGCCCATGTATTTATTATAAGACTAATTCAAGTGGAAACGAACCACACAGCCCTGCTCTTCACAGGTACTTTTGGTACTAGAGAAGACAACCAATGCTACGTGTTCATCTCTTGTTGCTTGGTGCGGCAATAAACCAAAAGAAGCCTTCAGGTCTAAAGCAGGATATTCAATTCCCTTAGTTGAGCTTAAGTACCTTCAGCTGGTTTTAGTGGAAAAATACATGGAAAATCAACAGGAGAAAAAAAAATCCTACTTAGACTAAATAAGACAATTTGGTGCTTGCTCTTAAAACTGCAGATTTAATATTATTAATGATCACATGTTGCAACATTGTCCAATGGAATGAACTAGAAGTATCACTCACTTTGTCAGCATCTGGGGTTTTGTTCTCTTCTGAGGTAAGTTCAGGTGAAGGGGGAGACTGTGAGGTCTGTTGACCATCAGTTTGTACCTGGGGCTGTGTTCCAGCTTCACTGCTGTCTTGCTGGACATTTTTCTGAAATGAAAGCCCAGGCACAAAGGATGTAGAAAGCAGGTGTACTTGGAAAATGTAAAGGTTACAGGGTACCCGAGACAGTATGTTCAATTTCTGAAATCTTAACAGGTGGGGAAAGACACTGGATAAAAGCAAAATGAACACAAAATATCTGAAAACTTCTTTGAAATTTTAAATCCATAAAAATTATTCGAATGACAGCACTTCATATAGTTAAATAACACAAATAGTAGGCATTTTGATTGATGTGATGACAATAACTCTCTTTTAAGAAACTTCCACCTAGCCTTGTACAGATATTGACTCTTGAAAGCAAAGGAAATAGGTTTACCCCAGGTCTGTCCCAGAGAAAAGCTTCCAAAACCTAATTTGACCAGGAGCCATCATGCATGTGGACATATCTCCTTTTCAATGAACTGAACAGTTACATGAAAGAGCCAACCATCAGTTATTCAGGGGCTCATCATGACAGCTCATAGACACGCAGACCCTCTGACCCCACCGCTTGTCGTCTGACCAGTTACAACCAAATGACCTCAGATGAAAGATCACTGTATATGCCACATGGTAGTGACTGCAATCCTTCCTGCCCCACCCTCAAGACTCTTTTCTGTCAGAGCTTTGAGATTCTAAGGCTTAATCACCAGCCAACATTTGACTTCACAATATGTGGTCTATGTTTTTTTAAAAAAGTGTTCAGAAGCCAGGCGTTCCTGATATGTCCAGAAGGTCCTAAGACTGACACAACAGGCATTAGAACAATGGTGTTTGTAACCAAATGAGAAAGTACACGGCCCTGGTCATTTTACTCATTGTACTGAAGATATTCTACATGAGAACAACACTAAGGCTCAGATACTAATGTTCCTACGTGTTCCAGAGGTCTCTGACCACTATTGTCACATCTTAACTAAAACACTATACTGCCTGCCCCCTCATTTAAGCGATTTCTGATTATTACCCAGAAGTAAACTTAATAGTTGATCTATTTTAAAGTTTCTGAAAGGTCCTCTGTTAGCACTCATGCTAAAGGAAGGCTAAATTAAGAACATGAGCAGTAGCAACTTTCTGTGCTGTAGAAAGACACTTCCCTTCCTTCCTCCCACAATACAGCAAACCATGAAAAAAAAAGCAAGTTAGTTCTAAATTGCCAAAACCAATTGTGACATTAAAAAAAAAATCAACTTTAATATTTGGTATATATTTCACCAAATAGTTTTTGTAGTAGTTTTTTTTTCTCCTTAATCACCAGCCAACATTTGACTTCACAATATGTGGTCTATGTTTTTTAAAAAAATAATGTAAAGAAATTACTCCATTGTCATATGCCAGTTCAAATTAATCATAATTCACCACATTTCAGGCTATATATGATCATCATATAGCAACTGCTAATTATCATGATTATCCAAAAAGCTAACCAAAATTAAGCAAAACCTATTTTAACCTTTCTCTCATAGATTAGGATTAACTTACTATGTATTCAAACTCAAAGGTTCATCCACACTTACCTCAGCCTCTGGGTTTTCTGGAGGTCTCTGGTTCGGACACTCTACATCTGCTTCCACAGAAGGCAGCTCACTGTTCTCCGCAGGGACTTTCTCCACCATAGACGCTGTAGAGATGGTGAAAATGCCATGCGTGTTGACTCGCACTTTCACTTTCACTCTCGATTTTTCTCCATCTTTCTGTGCAGAAACATTCTGAACTATGAAACGACCTAAATAAAAATAAATTGACAATTTAAAAACTAAATCTACATCTCTGTAAAGAAGATAAAGGCTTTTTTGCCCTGGCTGGTATGGCTCAGTTGGTTGGGCGACATCCTTTGCACCAAAAAGCTGCCAGTTCGATTCCCGGTCAGGGCACATGCCTGGCTTACAGGCTAGATCCCTGGTAGGGGGTCAGCAGGAGGCAGCCAACTGATGTTTCACTCTCACATCGATGTTTCTCCCTCTCCCTTCTTCTCTAAAAACCAAAAAAAAAGTCTTAACCTCCCATTTTACCAACTGTATTAGATTTAAGCCTTTTAATGTATATTATAAGCATAACCTCTTAAAATAGACAAGTCTCCAGTATAATTATAATATTTGGGCTTAATCTTAATATGCTGTGAAATGTCCAAAGGCCAAGGACACATTTGTGATTGTTTTTATTTAACATTTATGACCCAGCCACTATGTGTAAAACACTAATAATGACCAGTAGTCACTACCTCCTCTTATCCTACTTCTCCAGGTAGGTGAGCACAAACTACAGGTGAAAATCCATTAGCAAGTGAAAGGCTGAATGTTATCAGGCCATGCTGCATTTTCATCCTATAGGGCAGTGGTTCTCAACCTTGGCTGCACATTAGAATCACCTGGAAATCTTTTTAAAATCCTGATTTCTGGGCCTCATCCTCCGGAAATTGTTTCTTTGTTATTAATGTGGCCCCACCCCATAACAAAGAAACAGAATTTCCGGAGGATGAGGCCCAGAAATCAGGATTTTAAAAAGATTCCCAGGTGATTCGGATATGTAGCCAAGGTTTGAGAACCACTGCTCTAGGGCTTTCAGGGAATACATTCTTTCTGATTAAATAATCAAAACAGTTTTCTAGGTTTTTAAATAGGTAAGGTGACCTAAAACCTTTATCAAAGCTTGAAATTATTATGCACAACAGAGTAGTTCCAGAGCACTACTGAGGAGGAGTTGAATGCTGACTCTGACTTAGATAATCTGGGCCCCAATCCTGGCTGTGTGACCAGCTGCAAGTTACTTGACCTTTTCATGCTTGTAGTGTGAACATACTATGTGCAAGGCACTATATGGTATTGAACAGCCATGTATTTAAGGTGCTATCCACACAAACACAAGAAAGTTACAGTGTGAGATGTTGGAATAGGCCTTCGTTAATGATTAATTCACTAGTTCAGGAAATGATTGCCATTAAGGCCCATTAAAGAACAGCATTTATGCCTGGTGGGTGTGGGTGTGGCTCAGTGGTTGAGTGTCAACCTATAAAACCAGGAGGTTCACGGTTCAATTCCCAATCAGGGCAAATGCCTGGGTTGTGGGCTTAGGAAGATGTCTGAGGCTCTCCCACAGATTTCTAGAGTTACTGTGGGTCAAAACAGATGTACAGTGTCAAGCCTCTCAAAGAAAAATGTACCAAAAAAGATGTACCTTTTAAAATACGTAGGCAGATTTGAGAAGTAGCTCAATGGTTGCTAAGCCAGGTTTTATATTGGAATTAGGTGGTAATTCCTTAAATATAAATGATATCAGAAGAGGAACAATGCCTATGTGTTCTTAAATATAGATCCTTAGAAGTAATAGCAGCACTAACTAGCAAGTCATTTTACCTTTGTAGGCTAGTTTATTCACCAATAAACAAAGATTTCTCCATCCTAAATTGAAAATGGCCTTCACTTAGAATTATGTTCCACTCAACACTGCTAAGAATATGAAAAAATTTCAAGTTTGTGCATGTAAATACAGTTAAGTGCTTTACCTATTTTTGCTTCTGGATATGGAACTCCTTGAGGATCAGAATAGAAAGCTTCCAGTTCAAAAGGTCCGCTCCTCAAAAAGGTGAGAACTTTGGAGAAGGGAGCAGCATGGTTTCGACCGAACACTTCGTGAACACTAGAAGAAGGAAAGGCAGTCATTATGTCAAGTACTTAAGCTTATTGTGCTACATAAACAGAACAGGAACATTCTGTATCAAGTCTATCTCACCATTTATAACACCAAAATGACAGAAATACTTTGATAGGCTTGGCTGTTGAAAAATCCCAGTTAGATTAATTAGACACACTAGCATAAAAGTCACTCTTTTATATTAAATCACATTACCTAAAAGTTATTTTCTGATACATACCCTTCAGTGACTTCTGAATCGTGGCTCCAGACCAGAGATATGGGAAAAGGAACTGCATCTATGATGGAAAACTCTCTAACTTTAAATGCTGGAGACAGGATTGCACACTTCAAAAACGGAAGACAGAAAGGAAGAATTATCACGAGTACACGAATAATTCCACTCACCTTTTAACAAAACTCAATTCAAACTGGATGAATAGGTTTAAATTCAAATTCAAACTTGCGGACAGTATATGTCAACTATAAAAACTTCCCAGGTTTCTGGGAATTAGTTGGCTTAAGGAGGCATACCCCATCCTCAAGGAAAAAACTAAAACAAAAACCCCACGATGGTTCCTAATTATACAACAGATAACCAGTAATAAGTAGCTACGAATTCTTTCCTTTTGTTTTAAAGGGTAGTCCATCTAAATACCTTTCTCCATAGAATCTCTTGCTTTATACAAAACAAAAAACTATGCTGCCCTAGCTCGTTTGACTCAGTGGATAGAGCGTCGGCCTGTGGGCTGAAGGGTCCTGGTTTCGATTCCGGCAAAGGCTCAATCCTCACTGTGGGGCTGGCAAGAGGCAGCCAATCAATGATTCTCTGTCATCATTGATGTTTCTCTCTCTCTCCCTCTCCCTCTCCCTTCCTCTCTGAAATCAATAAAAATATGTACGCAAATAAAAAAAAACCTATGTTAACCAGATCAAAACTCAAGCATATTAACTTGAAACTTTAGTTAAAACTATTTGACTATAATGTCCTAAATACAAACTAGTATTAATTTTTTAAAATCACTGACTTCTAGATTTGGTGTTTTTGCTTTGTCAAACATCAGGCCTCTGAGCTGCCTTCTTACCTGATAAGCAGGTTAAAAGCAACTTGGAGGGGAGCAGCTGTTTCCTAATAACAGTTAACAAATACCCTTACCCTGCAAACTTTGCCCCACATCAATTCTATATTACACCACATTGCTATTCAAATTCCCTCCTATGTGCTTTGTAACAGCTGTGACCCCCAACACCCTGCAGCTAATTTCTGCATAACAGCCATTTTCTGTGACACCCCAGAATCATGCCAGTAGTTTCTCATCCCGTTTGAGAAACACTGGTTCTGTAGTCCTTTAAATTTCTTGATCTTCTACATTTGAAGATCCTCTTCTCCCTGTAGCCTTATGGACTTATTTAAAAATAACTCCCCTGTGATATCTAATTAGGCACACCATGATACAATGAGGTAGAACAGGTTCTGGCCTGAGAGCAAGAGAAGGGCTTAGGAAACATACCTGTAGTGCACAGCCTCTGGCAACTGCTTCATCTGCATTGAGTGTTGTGCTAACATCTTTTCCAAAGAATTTGGCAATTTTTTCTTTCACAGCTGGAATTCGTGTAGTGCCTCCAGTGATCTCAACAGCACTCACATCTTCTACTCTGAGCCGAATCTGTTCCATCAGTGAATAAAGGGGAACTTCTATCTTTTGCAGGAGTTCAGCACAGAGTTCTTCAAATTGTGCCCTTAGTAAGAGGAACACTTTTTAAGTCTTAGAAAAATTACCTAAGGGCCAATATCTTGTTTTAAAATAATAAATGTTACCAACCTGGTGAATTTCATGTTTTTTTATCACACAAGTTTAACTCTTGTACTTTGCAACTTTTAAAAAATATAAACATATGAAACAGGTGCAGAAACGGAGTAGAGGAGAAAAAGCAGTTCTACAGGGTACCATTGGAAAAATCACTTTTACATAAAGACTGACATTTTACTCCTAAATGATTTCTGTGATCCAATTCTCATTACTCTATTTATTTCCACTGACTTAAAAATATTTCTGTAAACTATTTGGTGAAACCACAATTCAATTACTGGCCCAGAAATACTAAAAAGTGGAAAATATGGAAAAACTTTCATCAGATCTTTGCAGAAGTGCCCCTCGCTGTAAGCGGGTACACAGTCTGTCCAGCAGGCAGTGCACAACTGTGGGCCAAGACACACAGCACTCCAGTCAGAACCAAGCCCTGGCTCTAAGCCAGTCAGAGCTCTTCCCATTCATCTAGCAGACTTCAGAACGCACCTGTTCATCTTTCCCATCACGTCCTGGTCATTCATGAAACACTCAATGTTCAGAGGCAGGTCCATACTGTTGGAGCTCATTAGCTTTTTCAATTTCTCACACTCTTGATACAGACGAAGAAGGGCTCGAATTTTGGATTTTGCATCCAACTTGTACTTAGTTTTAAATTCTGCACAAAAATGTTCTACTAACTTTTCATCAAAGTTTTTTCCTCCCAAGAAAGGATCAAAAGCTGTTCCCAGTACCTAATTTAGTTAAAACAACAACCTGGTTATTTTCAATCATATTTTTTTACTACAACGTTAAATATTCCTACTCAAACAACTGAAGAATAATAGGCTCAATATTCTATCTAAATGACAACATGAAATCCAAGTCAGTTAGGAGAAATATAACTAAAATTCAAATGATATACTGAATCTCTAAGATAGCTTTGATCTTTAATGATTACACAGATGACCTGAAAAAGCTTTTCTTCCCTAAACAAGAACATTAGAGCAGTGGTCTCCAACCTTTCGGACCTTGCAGACGTCCGCAGAGCACCAGTTGGCGATCACTGCATTAGAGTATGCTGAGCCATCATCTTTGGGAACAATTCCTTATTCATACCATTACCCAACACTCCTCTTCATTTCCAAGAAGACCATTGTCAAGAAGCTCAGTAGCTTAAGGTAATGACAAATACAACATTTAATAGGTTTTAGTCACTTAATTCCCATTTTTTACTTTACCTTCAATTTCCCCTTGTTAAAGGCACAGGCAGAGACCTGAAGAGCTGAGTGTCCCATGTCAACAAAAACCACTATCCGAGGTTTCTCATCCAGGCCTGGGAGATCGGGCTTATAAATTCCATAGTTCAAAGCAACTACAAAAAAATTAACTGAGTTTCAATTCTCACACACGTGCAGTTGGTGCCAGTGAGAGCACACATGCACAAATCAACTATGCCTTTTATATATACAGAATAAACTTGCTTAATTAAGCCTTCTTTCTGATTTAGCTAAACTTTTTCCAGCCCAGTCAAAAACCCTAACTTCTCTTTCAGATAATTGTCAGCAACACAGCAGTAAATATCAACATGAAGCAGATTATTATTGTAGATCATGCAGGGAGAACAAAGGGTAAAATATTTAACTGCAGCAGTGTTTGACTATATTCTGTGCAGTGAAAAAACCTGAAGTCATTTTCAAGGTCCACCATTTCTTACTTTCAGTCAGGTCAAGTTTCAAAGTTTTCTAAATCTCCATTTTCCAGCTAAGGAAAAGAAAATAGGATTCCACCAAGTCTCATATCTACGTACTTCAGGGCATCTGTGAGGATCAAATGAAATGAGGCACATGAAAATGCTTCACAAACATTTGGTTAAACTGTGAAATGTTTGCACCTAGCTATAAAGCAAGTCGTGTTCCTGGGCTGAAAAAACTCCAAGGAGGCTAGTCGCTAGGGAGAGGAAGCCGGGCTATATAACATGACGTCATTACCCGGTGCCCACAGTGACTGTGTCCAGGCTGGGCTGGGGGCCACATTTTGCACTATGGGGTCTTAGCAGCATTGGCTGCAATTTGGTGGGGTGTCCTCTGGGGTGGTGGCAGGGCCTGTGTCCCACTTGGGGGAAGCCGAGTATTGGTGCCAGGTCCATGGTGCCGTTTATTTTAAAATGGCCAGTGTGCATCATGGAAGCTCCTGCATTGAGCATCTGCCCCCTGGTGGTCAGTGCGTGTCATAGCTACCAGTCAGATGGATGGACACTTAGCCTTTTATATAATAGACTAGAGGCCCAGTGCACAAAAATTTGTGCACTCGGGGTGGGGGGGTCCCTCAGCCTGGCCTGTGCCCCACCCG